TTAGAGGTGCAATACAGCTGGGTGAAGAGAAGTGCCAACTCAATGGCTGATGGGTTATCTAAGCAAGGGGTGGCTAAGGATTCTTTGTTTTGGGCACATTTTTAGTATTTTGTTGCCATTTTGATGTTGGGGAGTTAAGATAGTTTACCTCCCCATTTTCTGTAATTAATTTTCACAAGTATTATTCATTAATAAAGATTTCTGTTATCGATCAACAAAAAAAAAATCTCAAAGGGAAGGGAGTTTCGCAGGCACATATCATTGGATTGCTGGTCGGCGCCAAAGAAGGCAGTAGTACAGCTATAGAGACCACTTCAATAATCGATGGGGGTGACGTGGCACCTTTCCAAAGCATTGGCCCGAGGGAACCCTCTTCGGTCGTAGAGAGGCAGACGCTTGGTGGGCCCGATTCGACGGTGTCTTAGCAGGAGTTTCAAATTTTAAACGAGGAGGTTTTAGAGGCTTTGGTGTCTAGATGCATCGGGAAATTAAGATGGATTTTGGGAAGGAGATCTTGGGACAAGTGGCAGTGTTAGGGGCGGGATCTATTGATTTCCAAGATGAGCCTCGCACCATGGAAGGGGGACACTCACGAGACAGTTGCATGGGCGAACCACTAGGTATTACCTCCACCTCATCAGATGGAACCGGGTGCCAAGCTATACATTTTTTTACTTGACTCAACCCCAAGCCGAGTCTGGTCAATTCGTTGAAAGCCTTACCAATGAGTCTCCCTCGTCCTCTTTACAGGGAGAAGTCGTTGTAGCCCTTGACTCATGCAAAATTCAGGAAAGAAGAAAACTACCCGTGTCTGTTTCACCATTTAGCGGTGTGTTCGATCATTGCGAGGGAGACTGCCAGGAACAAGAGCTCGTGCCAGAAATCGAGCTTCGCTACAGTGACGCAGTAGAGCCTAGGATGGAGTTGGCTGTTCAATCTAGAGGAGGGGACTTGGAGGTTTCAGAGGTTTCAGAAGTGCCACCTACCACAACCCCTTTGGCTTCCTTACCAGCAGAGGAATGGCCAATGGTAGGGGAAGCTTCCGCCATTTTAGTAGGTATTGTAGGGTCAGGGGGTGAGCTTGCAGAAGGGAACCCTCCTACGGAAGAGCCTTCCACTTGGGTTCTATCGAAAGTCCTAGAGATTTAAACTGTTATCTTGGAATATTAGAGGTTTAAACTCAGGGTGTAGAAGTGTAGTGGCTGGCTCTCTTATAAGGGGGTGGAATCCTGGTATTCTTTGCCTACAGGAAACAAAAATGGAAGCAATTGAGCCTCAAACAATCAGAAATGTTTGGGGGGAAAGGATTGTAATTGGAAAGTATTGCCAGCTGTTGGGACTGCAGGTGGTGTGGTGGTGATCTGCGATGTGAGTAAAGTGGAGACAAAAGGCAAGAAGGCGGGACAGTTTTCTGTTTCAGTAAGATTTCAGGTATTGGAGGATGGATGGGGTTTGTTATGTCAGATGTGTATGGCCCGAAAGATAATAGTTTAAGGGCAGCTTTCTGGGCAGAGCTCAGTACAGTCAAAGAGGAATGGGACAAACCTTGGGCAGTAGGGGGAGATATTAACACTATCCGGTTTTCTCATGAGAAAGAGGAAAGGGCAGACCAGGTAGGGGCTTAAGAAGCTTTACCGAGTCTATGGGAAGGTGGGAATTGGTGGATCTACCTCTCTTGGGAGCCAAGTATACTCGGACAAACAACCACGAGGAGGCTACTTTAGTCCAGCTAGACCAGTTTGTGGTTTCTATGGAGTGGGTAGAGAGGTTTCCCAACTTATCTCTCGAAGCCTTACCAAGGCCTTTATCTGACCATGCACCTATCTGTTTAGACTGTAGTGACTTACAATCAAAACCATCTCCCTTCAAATTTGAAAATGCATGGCTTGAAGAAGAGGGTTTTGTAGATTTTTTAAGCAGTTGGTGGGAAGAGAATCATGTGGAAGGTTTAGCCAGTCATGTGGTGAACAAAAAGCTAAACCTTGAAAGAGAGGATCAGAACTTGGAAAAAGGAGGCCCTCAACTTGGCAGATCAGAGGAAAAAAAAAAAAAACTATTTGGAGGTAATTGCAGAACTTGATAAGGCTGAGGAAGAAAGATATCTCTCTCAAGAGGAGAGGAGGAAGAGATTGGTCGCAAAACTGAACCTTGACAAACTCGCTTTCCAAGAGGAGATGAGATGGAGGCAACATTCCAAATGCCTTTGGTTGAAGAAGGGAGATCAGAACACAAAGCTCTTTCATAAGATGGCTAGTGCAAAAAGGCAAGAAAATGCCATTAAAAGTCTTTTTTATAAATGGAGAAGTGGTTGAGGATGACAAATTATATAAGAATATGAACTACAACTCTCTTTTTTGTACATGAAAATATCTTTTTGTAAAGCAGGGCTGGGGAGTGTAGAGCTGCTTGAGAAGTTTTTCTTTTTTGTAATTCCCCATGTACAGCTTCTTGTTGTACATGCTTTTTTTCTTCTTTAATGAATTCATACTTTACCTGTTTCAAAAAAAAAATTACTTGGCATGTGGTAACAAAGGCAACACTTTTTGCAGGTATACAATGTTAGAATTCAAAAAATATGAACTATCTTAACAGTATATATCCTATACCCATGATCTTTCATATTGCAAAGTCAAACTGTTGGACACATTGAATTCCAACTTCTGTGTCCACGTCCATGCAACATTGTCACTAAGACAAGAATTTGTGGACAAACCATAATCACATCAGCATGGATAAATTGCAATGATAATTCCTTTAAAATTTGAACCAATATGGTCATGTCATATCATATATTCAATCAGAGGCTACCTTGGACTTTAAAGAGAGAGCCTGCACTTTTATCATTTCAACAATCTCCTTCTTTATTTGTTGGAAGCGATCATCTTTTGCTTGTTTTGCTGTCAAACCCAGTTCAACCATCTCTTTCAAGTTTCTCTGTGGCAAAGACATGTTAGTTAGTATTTATAACTTCTGTATCCTTAAAGGGAGAAAAGGTCAACCAACAACTGACCCCCCCTCCCCCCCCCAAAAAAAAAGAAAGAAAGAAAGAAAGAGGTAACTAAATGGAAGTTCTGCTTATAAACTGAAGGCATGAAGCATTAAGTTAATAAATAACTGGGAATGACTCAATGAGGTTTTTGCGGAGTACAAGATTCACTAACAAGTATGAAAGTCTATTGTCATAATTCAAGCCTCATCCCAGTTATTTGGAATCAGCAATTCACAATAAATAACATTGTGAAATTGAGAAAAGAGGGTTGAAGTAGACACTATTGAGATGTAGGTTCAATTTCTTAAAAATAGAGGGAGAACTAAAATACCTTCAATGTTTTGAGTTGCACCAAGTGGCCAAGAATACTCATAAGGCGATTTATTAACTCTTCTGATATTTTTCCTTGGCTTGACTGCTGCAACCCACAGGATGAAATGATTTAGAATTATTCTAGATATATCAATTAAAGGTTATGCGAGTGTTAACAAGTAAAGAAAACTAAATAAATTAAAAATATCATGATACAAATAGTACTTCAAAAAGCTATCTTTCAGTACCGCCAATCTGGCAACTTTAGCAAGCTTCTGTTTTACTTCTCGAGGCAATCTCCTCTTGACTGCCTGGGATGAAGCATCAGCATCCTGAACTTCCATAATAGGTGGTCTTGCTGTAACAGAAGCATTGATTTAAAATAGTCATCAAATAAAGGATCGAAAAAACAAATAATAAATCCAGAAACTTATAGATACAAAGATATTAAGTTTGAAGAGACAATTGCAAAACTTACACTCTGCGACCATCTTCTCCAGCTCCCTGATGGCCCTTTCAAGCATTGTACCTTTTGGCCTAACAGTAGAGCCTTCCTTTACATGCATGGATGAAGTCTTCTGATCACAGTTAGCTATAAATCAACACCAACTAAACAGCTCACAGGACATATAAAGCAGCAATGCAAAGCCACATATGAAGATAAATCTAATCATGTTAGGACACAGGGAAAGAGAGATTCAGAAGAACCTTTTAAGAAAAGCATCGAGATAACAAGAGGATTGTAGCTCATATATATTATATATAAAAAGGTCATTACCCAATGTTAGTCAAAGCTATCTGGGGTATTGGGAGGTGTAGACTGATACAGACCTAACCTTTACCCTTTTTTTGCACAAAATGGACGCTCTCAGACTTGAACCCACATTCTGACACTTGTCAACCCGAGATTTTACTATTGCACCTAGCAATAGATCCTATTGTAGCTCATATATATTTCCTATTTAATTTGACTGGCTTTTGGTATATCCATATTTCTAAGATGTAGATAGAACATCTTTTAGTTCTAGTTTCTGGTTCACATTAAATATTATTTCTGAAGATGTATGACTTAATTATCCCAGAGATACTGGAAAAGAAACGGGCCAGATATTGATATATCATTGTAAAATTCTGACCTAAAATCTGTATTAAGTCAGCTGATCTGTTGATGCTGTTTCTTTTGACTGTCTTCTCTATGTCAGCCATTGAGATATATGAGAAGTTTTACTTAGATATTTAACATAAATGCATGGTTACTGATCAAAAAATAAAAAACTAGAACTAAAATCAAATAAGAAAACAGTAAATTTTTAGATCTGAGACCCTTTCAGTAGAAACTTCTTTTCTTTTTTTTGTACCTTCCAAATTGAAACTTGAATCATGTCATTTTATTGGTATTAATCCTGTCAAATTTTAATATAAGAGTTCAAACAATTAATGGTATTCTATTCTATTGCATACATGTAGGTTTCAGTATAAATTTTTTATTGAGAACGTATTGTATTAAAGAAACCAAAAATTACATCAGCCTATGTACACAGAGAAGATAGGAGTAGCAGATTGTAGAAATACTCAAAACATTTCAATATACAAAATTATCTGGTCTGCCTTTCATATGCCACAACCATGGTTCAAAGTATCTATACGCTCAATATTAAAAATCAAGTAATGAGCCATATAAAGCATTCATACTCTCTTTTAAAAGTTTCACTGAACGCCCATCATTCCACCATCACTTCACACCTACTACCATTATTAAAGCTTACCAGATGTCCCTAATTCCTTGTATTCAGTATATTAGCAACCTCAAAAGTTGATACATATCGTACAATATGGTAAGATACAAACATATCAATACTTTGAAATGTAAACTGGAAGTACAACAACCAAATGAACTAAGGATGTTAACATTATGAATACATTTCTAGCTTTTTGTGAGCTATGCTCATGTATATATTAGAATATCCAAGGTTACAATTCACAAAAAAACAGGATTTTGACATAGAAGAAATTGATGGCTTATCCATAAAATCTGTGGACTTTTGCATAAACTGGGACAGAGCTTCTTGGAGTGTCAAAGTATGGTTTATGAATATTTCAAAATGTTGGATGAAAAGGATTTATTATGGACTGAGAAGGATAACAAAGACAGAGTGACAATGGAAGAAAGCTTATGCAGGGTTAAGGGAAGAAAGAAGAGATATAGGGGCTACAGGAGGGAAGATAAGGGTAGAAGAGGGAGGTGCATTGCCTGAGTTCCCTTAGGATATGTTGATAGGAGAGTGGTTGTTGATTAATGTTTGACGCTGAGAAGCCAAATTGTCTGGTTACTATTTAGTGATGCTTGGCTTGGCAGTTGCTGACACTGTTTAATTCGCATGGATCTCTTGTTGTTTAAATTCTAGTACTTATGAGAAATTCTTTGTACATATAGATGTATTATAGAATTTGGCTTCTAGACTTCTCAGGGGATTCTGGCATTTGGAGACTGTTCTTCCTTTGCTGTTACTTTCCAGTCATGGGTAAACCTCATATAGTTTCCTTTTTAATTTTCACTTTCATTAAAAGAATTAATAAGCAGTATATTGACCAAGATATTCAATAAATTTGTATCATCTCTGTATAACAAAATGCTTTTGTTCAGGAAGATGGTGAAAATAAGAGATTCTAATCTCAAACTAATCTCATTTTGATGAATAAAAGGCTATTAATCAAAATAAAAATTAAAAAAAAAAAAAGAAACAAGTAACCTTTTAAGCAATTACCAAATACCAAGTAACAGTTAAGCTTAACAAAAGCAGTAATTTGCAAGAGCTGAAACAAAGTCATCAAACTTAAGCAAGAAAGAGTTTGTCATCATGCCTCAAAACTCTCAGCAAATATATAACAATGCAAATGGGGAAAGAAAGGGAAAACCAAGCCATACAGATTTCCAGAATTAATGATTACTTACAGCAGTTTGCACCGGGTACTTGATCACAGAGGAATTAAGGTCAGGCAGTTGACTGCTGCAATTTTTCTCCTTCTGCCTAACTTTGGTGGATAGCTCTAGTTCGTTCATATCATTCAATTGTCTATTGGATTGAGGCTCAATCTGAGATGAAGTATTTTTATCCCGATACAAATGAAGCAAAGCATCAGATGACTCACTTGAAACTTTCAATTTACTACCAAGCTCTCTATGTTGGACAGTTCCAGTCCTCTGCCTTTCAATGTCCTTTGCTTCTGGAAATACAGAAGCATCCTTATTTAATATTTTTGCAGATGAAGGATTATCTGGTTTAGTACTAGAATCAGTGGATTTTTTCTTGGAAAGTCCTACAGGAGCATTCAATTGATTCTGAACTTTCTCATCTTCATAATATTCACTTATAGCAGCTAAACTTTGAGATGGACTAGAAGATTTTGTCCCTCCCAATGGTGCTGTCCTTGCAGCAGCTTTCATCCTCACATTACCCAATTTAGCATTTTTACTTGGAATATGATCACCATCTTTTGTATGTTTATTTGGTACATTTTCACCATCCTTTTCAATACGAGACTTTGCAAGATCCTTCCTCCTTCGTTTCTTTGGTTGGTGGTCAGGTGATGCAACAGGTTCATTTCTAGAGGACATAAAGCAAAGAAACAGGTAAAACATCAAACTCAAAAAATTAAAAAAACAAAAAAAAGCATGGCCCATACAAGAAGATGATTAAGAATTTTATCCCATATGCTTCAATATAAGCATTTTATCCTATGTAAATAGGCAGCAATAAATTTTTTACACACAATATAAATGATGGCCAATATTCCAATATGTCATTCTTCATGCAACAAGGCAATTTGGAGCAATTTGTATGATGCCCCTTTTGTATATTGTACCTCAATGTTTGGGCTTTTTTATTTCTGATCAATGTATATACTCTTATTTGTCTAAAATATGTAGGGCAATATAAACTTCTTTTTTTATGAAAGTTTAACCAAATTTCATTAAAGAAAGAAAAGTACATGAGAAGATGTACATAGCAGGGATAGAACCCCAAAGCTTACAGAGGAGGAATACTATCACCATACAGCTCTTCCAGAAATACACCCCATTTGGCTAATCCATCCACCATGTGATTTAGTTCCCTGGGAATCCAAGTTAGTCTTGTATTTAGGCAGTTCAGGGAGTCCCTAACCCTTTCATCCCTTAAACAACCTCCAATTACAGCTAAACCAGGGTTGCCTGAAGTGCTTCCATCAAAGTTTAGGGTCACCACACCTTTGTAGAAAAATATGTGGTTGTCTCAAACTTACTTGTTGAGGGTGTGGGAGAAACAGAAAGGTGTGCGCAACTCTGTTGAGGCCATTGACTGAAAGACCTCTGAACAAATCCGAGTTGACAGCCCAGAGGTTACAGAGGTAAGTGATGTCTGAGGTCAGCTTTTCAATGGGCCTAAATTTGTTGCCAAACAGGCGTTTGTTTCTTACCTCCCAAACTCCCCACATTACTGCATGTAGTACAGTTTGCCAATAAACTTTGACTCTTTTGCTTAGTCCTGTTCCTTTCCACTGATGCACAAAATCCAGAATATGCTCTGAGAATACCCAACTGCAACCAGCCAGACTCAAGAAATAGAACCATATCTTTTAAGTGAACTTACAATGAAGAAGAATGTGATCAGCTGATTCACCTTCACTTAGGCATAATAAGCAAGCATGGGGAGGGATAAATAGTCTTCCCAAGTTCTTCTTCACAAGAAGGTCGCAAGTGTTTATTTTCTGAAGACAAGCTTCCCAGACAAAGAAACAGACTCCTGAAGGAATATGACTGCACCAGATCTTCTTGAAGGGGAAAGAAGAGCTTTGTTCACCTGCAGTTAGAACCTTGTACATAGACTTAGAAGAGAATTAATTCGCCTATTGTGTGGAGGGTCCAAATTAGGGTGTCAGAGGAGGAGGGGGAGATGTAGACTTCTTTAAGGGTTTGTAAAAGAGCAATTAGGTCAAAAATCTCCGGGTCCCTTGGGGGTCTTCTAAGGTGTAGACTTCTTCTTGCCGCTTTCTTCAATTAAAAGTCAATGTAGTTATAAAATAAAATTGAAAACATCACCAGTATCCTGAACATTAAAGCAAGTATGGCAATACTGCAACAGAAGTGAAAGAAAAAATGTTTTTCCTATATAAATATGCAACTATTACATTTGCTCATTTTGACAAGGTTTCATCCTAACATAACCCCCCACATTCATCTGTAAATTAAAGAAGAGATCCACTAAAATGGTCATATTAAGGTAAACAAAATTTTCCCTCATTTTCTCTATTAATATCTGGGAATGACCTGCAAAGTTCCAATTAATCAGTAACCAACTTGGACTCAAGCCCTCATAAATGTATAGTTAATTGTTTGAGACTCTTGAACTTTGAAGATGCATTTGATCAAACTTACCCCAGAATATTATGTATGTCAGTAAAATAAATAAACACCATCTCATATCTTCTTTCCTGGAACTTGGGCCTTAGAAGGGATGCAAGAGACTCCAAAACTCAAAAAAAAAAGTACAAATCTACCTTTTGGGTAGATGCAAAGTTTGCTCCGCAAGCCCTAGAGGATCACTTGTTTTCTGCTTCTTTTTCAAGATATTGTACCAAATCGACCAACCTCTACATGGAATGGGCTTACACACCAAACCTCCTAAAGATATGTAGTTCCTCATCCACTCCACCAACTTCTTGGAGAATCTCTAGAATAAGGTCCCAGAATCTGTTTACTTTTAGGGTTGGCTCCTAGTGGTAACCCTAAATAACTCAAAAGTAGACCTGGCAAAAAGTTGACCTAACCCGCGAACCCGACCCAACCCAACCCGAAAAAAACAGGGTTAGGGTCTCATATTTAGCTACCCGAATGTGAAAATGACCCAACCCGACCCAACCCAAAAAAAAACTAGGTTGGGTTGGGTTGGGTCATGGGTCACCCGCTGACCCGATTGTCAAGTCTAATTAGGATTATTTATGCATTGTTAGAAGTTTCCACTCTTTATTTTTTTCTATTTAGTCTTTACTTTTTAATGTTTACTCTTTAAATTGTTAAATGTTCAAGTTTTTTATTTTATATTTGGAATTTTAAGGTTAATTCTTTTAATTTTGACATTTTTCATGTAATTTTTCTTTATCTTTTTAAATTTCAATTATTTTTTGGGATGACCCAAATTGACCCATGAGTCAACCCTAACCCGAACATTTAGGGTTAGGGTCTAGCATTTGACAACCCAACCCGAAATTTAACCCAACATGAAATCAACCCAAAGTACTTTGACCCAACCCACCCAACCCAATTGCCAGGTCTACTCAAAAGCCACCTAGTCACTAAACACCCTAGACAACCTGCAAACTATTTAACCACCTTATCTTCCAAACTAATTCCTACACACAACTCTTCTCCAAATTAATCTTTAGATTTGAAATGTATCCAAAGAGCCTCACCACCAACTTCAAGTTCCCCACCCAATGAGACTACCCTTCACTGAAGAGAATAATGTCATCGACAAACTAAAGGTGTATCAGCACTACTTCCTCACTCTCCATTCTTTCGCCATCAAAGTCATTTGGAAAGGCCCTTCTCCTCCAAAGGCAAAAGTATATTATTGGGAAGCAGCACATCAAATTATTAAACTTGTCAAAGGCTCCAACAGAGACAGAAGGCTCCTCTATCTCAAGAATGAGAGTGCAAACCACCTTTTATTTTCTTTTTTTATTTGTGCCTTAAGTACAGAACCACTTTTTTTTAAGATCAATAAAAAAGGAATTTTTGTTAAAATGTAAAAAAGATTACACAGGTGACCAAATGACAAGGCATCACCCATTACCTAAAAAAATCTGCAAACAAATACAACAAAAACAATAAGAAAAACAAATCTTACTGCACCTCTAATGCCTTCCAAAAACAAGCTCCAAACTCTTCTCTCTTGACTCCTTGAAAATCCGGAAGCACCAGCACCCAATAGAGCACTTTTACACCTACCATCCTGTGTAACTTCTCTTTAGACTTGTGTTTCCCATCAAAGATCAGCCTGTTTATTTCTTTCCCTATTTCCAACAGACTGCAAAGGGAATGGCAATTCCAAAAATCTTTGCCATTTTGCTGCCTCTGAGAAGTGGCCACAAATCAAAGATTTCTTTAGACGTTTGAGGTGACCACAGCTCTTTACAAACAACCAATATTAGTAGTACCAAACAAAGCTTATGAAGTCGAAGACCAAAAGAAGCATAATGTGTTCAACATTTGATTCGCATAGAACACATCTACTTGCCATGCAGTACCCTCTCCTTTTTAACTGTTCCTGGGTAAGAATGTTGTTCATTGCACCAACCACCCAAACACTTCCATTCTTGGAGGAATTGGGTTACCCCAAAAACCACCAAAAGAATCCCTTTTAACCTATCTTTCTGTCAAAGCTTTGTAGTAAGATTTCAATTCACCACCTCACATCCGGGCCCTCAAAATTAACCTTCGTCTTTTGCATCCTGGCCATAAAATTCAAAACATTCTTCAAACTCCCAATCTAAAAAAGGTCCTTTGAAAATGAAACACGCACTACCCTTCTTTGCTGAACATCAAAACATTGTGAGATTGTTACATTTTTCCTACTCAAACTATAAAGCTTTGGAAATAAGTCACACAACTTTCTTGCTTCCAACCAATCATCTGTCAACTAACATAAAATAGCATAACAAATCAAGAAGAAAATAAGAAAGAGAATTAGAGAAAACACCAAGATTTAACGTGGTTCAGCTCGGTAGCATACATCCATGGGAAGAGAGTGAAAAATATCCACTATGAGAACAAGAGATACATAGCAGACCTCTCTACAGACTCACAACAAAACATCCACTCTCACTCAACCCTAATCCCATAAACCAATGGCTTAAATAAGCAAAAGGGCAAATTATATCAGAATTTCAAATAGACCCCTCTTCCTCCCATAAACACATACAAGTCCCCAAAATATATCAGCATTACAAATATATCCTTATAACCTCCAAAAACCCAAATGCAATATATCTCTCTACACCTTCCCTCAAACTCAAGGTGGGGAAACCAGCTTGAGTTTGCAAGTAAGGATGTTAAAGCAACCTCCATGAAAATAGGTTTATTGTTGAAGCAACAGCCATAAAACTTAAGATGTTGAAGGGGCCTCTTAGAAACCAAAGTTAGATGTTAGAAAGTTGAATGAACTCGTGCCGGAAAGCCAGAGTAGAGCCAAGTCATGATCTAGTAATCGCCAAACTAAAGTTGGTTGACGGGAAACCAACACATATCATACCAAAGGATCAAATTTAGCCATCAAAAAGACCAATCACAATCACCGAACCAAAGAACAAACCATGCCAAACAACTAGATCATCAGAAATGCAAACAGAATTACCAAAACAAAGTTGGCTAGCAGAAAGCCAACTATGCTGAACTCCATAAACCAGAGCAAAGATTTAGAGTTGAACAATGGAAATCCAACTATGAACTCCATAAACCAAATTGACGAATCAGAATTGGCCAATTGAAAAGCCAACTAGATAAAGTGAATCAAAATTCCATGTCACCAAAGGAGATCAAAACTTCAAGGATTTCTTCAATAATAACTCT